GCTAGTTTGCTATTGGCTATTGCAAATTGAAATAGCCAATAGGAATCTAGCAATGCATTCCTATGGCCAAATTTTTTATTTTTTTTATATTCTGACACGGCTCCGTGTCAGAATAAAGAAAAAAAACGAAAAAGCAGTGTTTCTCTCCTTAACCCGGGAGCGCCCGGGAGAGTTTTTTTTCTTTTTTTGGACGGCAGCAGAGCCGCCGGACAATAGAAAACAGTTGGGCGGAGCTAGCTGTCACTATTCACTCACTGCTGTTCGGCATCTATAAGAATAGACCGAACAGCAGCGAGTAGCCTGCCGGAGGTTCGGCTTAGCCGATCCAGATGTTGGATCGCTTGAGTCGCACTCCTTCTGCACTTCGGGTTGGCCGAACATGCTGAGCATGTTCGGCCGACCCGAAGCCACTCGAAGCAAGCCAATGTACGGCTGATTTCAGCCGATGTACGGCTGAAATCAGCCGATGTACGGCTGAAATCAGCCGTACCAGCCTGAAGTGAATAGCCGAACAGTGTTTGGCTCACTTCACTTCAGATCGGTCATTCACTCGGCTGCCCTCGTCAGCTAAGTGAATAGACCCCATAGTTTTTTTTAGAATTAGAACAGATGTCAGGTTTCACTGCATCCGGAAGCTCCATTGGAGAGATTTCTTCACTTTCTGTCTGGTAAAATTATTCCTCAGACTGGAAGTGAGGGAAAATCGCTTTAACAGCATCACAGACAGAAAAAAAAGATGCTTTTTTTAAATTAAGTAGGGAAATCCTAGAACCTCAGTCAGCTTTTGTTTGTTCTCTGGTTTTCCTTTTGCAGATTTTCCCTCACTTCCTGCTGGTAAAATGTGGTCCCAAGAACAGAAAGAGAGGACATCTCTCTAATGGAGACCTGGATGAACTTCTAACCTTCCCCCAGTCTATGCAAAACTGAAAAAAGGTTAGAAGTAAGAAGTGGAGTTAAGATGCAGTTTAAACAGCAAAAATGTTTTGAAAAATAACTGCTGTACCAGTGGCATTTCCAGGCTATGGCACATATGGCATATGCCTTGGGTGCCACCTGAAGTGGAGCGCTGCTCCATTGTTCAGCAAAAGTTTGCCAACCCACCGAGACAGCTGACTTGTTTTCTCTCCGCACCGCTCTCCCATAACCATCTCCCAACCTGACTCTAAACAGTCAGGGATGTTCTTGTCAGCATCCTGCCCAGCTCCTGGCAACCAGGAGTTGGGTGGCACATCAACCAGAGTGTCCCTGGTTGCTAAGAGCTGAGCGGGGAGATATGTAAGGGCCATACACTTCTTCCCCCCAGCACTTAGCAACCAGGGATGCTCTGGCCAGCGTCCCGCCCAGCTCCTGGCAGCCAGTGATGTCACCAGGGGCACAATTTGTTGTAGATAAGAGCCAATTATAATGTAACAAATGTATCACATTGTTTCTATAATTTCCTGGTACACTGATCACTGATCAAGCAAGAGAAAATATACTGTCAGAATGTCTTTCACACAGGCCGAGACCTTCACTGTAAAACTGACAGCGGACCCCAGAGGATACACCCAAGGGAGAATGCCCAGTTGCATATTGTGAAAAATACTAGGTACACCCTGTGGAATTAACTGAACTTCTGTAGGATTATACCCTAGGTACTAAAATGGTAAACATTGGTTGTAACTCTTTTATCATCATTGCAGTTACATATTATAATTGTAGTGTAGTATAACAGATAGCAAGACTAACTTATAATATACGCATAAATATATTAATCTATTTACAAGTGAATTGGGTGAAGAGAAAAATGCCATTACGACTGTTCAGCAAAAAAAATACTGTTCATTTGTTGTATAGGTTCAGTATATTGATTATTACTTTGCATGGTGACTGAATAAATTGAATGGTGTCAGAGAATAATAGAAAAAAGGGAAATTGTATGGCTTATTAGCTCTAAGATCCGCATTAAAAAATAAATTGTTTTTACGCCATAAATAAGCAATATATTTTTAACACAGAAAATGAGCTGTGACTAAAGATAGAGGAAATGGTTATAATAGTTCATAAATGTAGTAAATGTAAAGCAATGCTGTATCAGTGGAGAATTTTAAAGTACTTCCTGTCCAAACCACTTAATACTTCTGGTCCATGCTTGGTGTAATCGTTTTAGTGACTAATTAAACATTGCTCCACACTGTTTATAACTTCCAAGAGCAAAGAGTTCAGCTCTTGTGATGCCTTGTGAACAGCTGCTGCCACCAACAGCAACAGATGATATAATCAGATGCTGCAGAATGGCTGACTAGGTGGAAATCCCTCTATGATGATCTGCATGCTGCTGGCTTATTTAATACTGACATCAGGTTAATAGGGCATCACCATCTCAGCAACAGCTGGATATCAGTCAAACTTCCTGAAGATAAGATTAATTTATCATGACCGAACAGTTATGGGTCAGAAGACGTAAACTGGCCACACACAGCTAAACGTTTGGCTGATTCCTGCTGAATCAGCACAAATTTGAGCCGTGGATGACCCTTTCGACTGAGTCATATAGCAGATTGTCAGCTGAACAGTGATTGCATTAAATCAGATGCAGTCACTGTTCGGGTATGCAAGGTGCCACCTGTTTGAATAGCCGGCAGGTGGAGATTTCTCCATCCATGCTGCTTAGATTGTATGGGGGAATTGAGTAATTCCCGAGGGGCTGAATGAGAAAAATCCAGCTGTGTATGGCTAGCTTTACACTCCTTAATTTATATGTTGTTAAGCTAAAGTTACCTAAAAAATTGTGTGAAATAAAATCTTGTATAATAGCAATGTTGCCTCTTCTGCATTATGAAGGGAAAACTCCTTTAAAGCATTTTATTTAATGCCTGAGCTTTAGGTGATAAAAACAGGGGATATTTATAATGGAAGATCAGAAGAGAAATAGCCAGAAGGAGAGTTATGTGACTGACCATCCTCTCTTCTAACCACTGCTGTGTTAAGCAGGAGGTAACACAGTAAGGTACCCTAGGCTCCAAACCACAAATTGTATTTTATGAATGGGCTGCAAAATAAAGGCCGTGTAAATAAAGGTATGTAGCTGTAACTAGGGAATATAACTAAGAGCGAATAACAATATCTGCTCTCTGTTATAAATTAACTCCTAAGAGATTAAGTGGGTGGCTGCTGGCATTAGCTGTGACCTTAAACATTTTGCGCACCATGGTGCAGCTCATTTTTCAGATGTAGCTCTTAGTTTATATGATTAGATATTTCCACAGATATACCTGTACTTGTTGTAAACACCACAAGTAAACTCAAGCGCCTATAGGGTGGGATGTTAACACAGATGTGCTTTTTTCAAACTACTTTGCCTCTGCCTACTTTGCCTCTGCCCTTCAAAAAATGATGATGAATTTTTCTATTCTATTAAGCTGAAACATAATGCTCTTCTCCCATTTCTGCTTCAGTATCCAAGAAGACACTCGACTGTAACCGAGATCAGTGTAGCCACTGATTGCAGAGTTCAGTTCTTCCTTCATAAAGTGAGGAATGATTTACCTAAACTCAGTTTGTGCACTATTTGTTCATAAATTATCATTCACAAATGATGTGCAACCTTTCCATTCTATATCCTCCTTACCCTGGATATTAGTTCTCCCACCATTCCAGTCCAGGTTCCATTCACCTCTGGAACACCATAAAGACCATCAGCAACAAGGCGGATATTATAGTTAAAATGCAGGATCTTGGAAAGTTCGTTGAGCATGTCGACACAGAACCCGTCATAGCGATCATTACCCTCCAGAACAAGATGGTTTGGTTTGAGCATCAAGTACGGGTTTTCCTGCAAAATAACTAGTTTTGGTTATTGCCATTTGCTCAGGAGAATATTTGAAAACGATTCCATTTATTGTATGAAAGTATAAATCATTCACATATCAGTTGTAACATATATTTTTAAAATGAATGCAGTTACTATGTGTTCATATGACAAAGACTAGCTATATGATTGTTTAAATTCTAACAAAAATCCATATGAGTGCATGTGAGAAAAACTTTCAGTAGTTTGATTTCACAATTTGTATTTATCCCCAAAAATGTAATCTGTATGCTGTCCAAGATACCAGCTGCATGTTGATGTATCTATTTCCTAAAGAACTTTAATAAGTGAAATTGATCAGACTTACTAGGATAGTAGTGATAATTAATGTCTTGTTAGCCAATTTGTCAGAAATGTTTTGGAAGAAGTATCTTCTGTCCATTGACAGACCATTAGTGGCATGCCACTGTCCAATCTGAAAAGAAAAAATATGTACAAGTATATAATGTAAAGGTAAAATCAAATGAAATAATTGAAACAGCAAAATTTCAATCGGTGAAACATATTTTACAAGTATATAGTATAATATTACAAGCCAATGAGCCTTCACATTCTGGCGCAGCAGCAACTCAAAAAGGCTTATGATAAGTGATACATTTGGACCTAAACAATGTACATGTAGATCCTATACAGTAGAGTCTCATTACTAAGCATTGTTTTTCTTAAAGGAGAACTATGGGGTTAGGGCTTTTCCCCATAGTTCTCCTAAGGGTAATTGGAGGACACAAACTAGCGTCCTCCCGCCACCCAAAGCTCAGTACAGCTACAGCTCGCGGTATACTGAGACGCCGCAGCCGGAAAGGATCCCGACAATAATGTCTGGATCCGCCCAGCTGCGTGAGTGACAGCAGGCTCTGCCTATCTAGAGGCAGAGCCAGCTGTGCCCAACCCCCTCCCCCGTCCGTTCTGCCAGTCAGCGCTGGAGGATCGGACAGGGGAGGGGGAATGCAGTCCCTCCCGTCACGGCTCTCTGCCGGCACAGGATCGAGAAGTGAGCGAGCGCCGGTATGTGTTCGCTCACTTCCCGATCTACTGAGCCAACCTGTGACAGTTTCATTGTCACAGGTCGGCTAGAACTATGAGGCTGAGTGAAAGTCACTCACCTCATAGTTCTCCTTTGCTAACCAAACTACCACAAAACCAGAAATGAGCAACACTGTTCATTAATATACAGTAGTGAGCATGTCTGATAAAGAGAAATGATGCTGGACTTTTTCCTAGCATGTGCCCTAGGTCCATTTGTTATAGGTGAACTGAGCTTCTATACGTGCAATATCCCAAATGGTACATCTCACACAGGGAATGCTTCTGTTATTAACAGTAAACTCATCATAACAGTGTAGAGTTTTAGCCAATATTTTATGAATAACAAACATTCTAACAAGTATTTTAACTATGTTAAAGCATAAAGAATATTTGGACTACATTTATACATAAGTAAGGACTACTGGTAACAACAAGGGCAACCTGAGGTAAGGCCTACCCTACTAGTGGATACTTAGCAAATGTTGTCATTTATAAGGAGATACATAGTTAAATGTGTATCTAAAACCAAAAAAAACCCAAACCCTTGGGTGCTCTTCAAACCACATTTATTGACACTTTCTGCCTGACTCTACATGTTGTGGCCACTATATTTTGGTTTGTATGTTGGATACTACTGTATGTTATATCTGGAAACACTAAGCATTAATCAAAACTGGAGCAGACAAAATCTGGAGCAGCCGTGCATGGCAATCAATCCGCTTCTCTCATCAGTTTGTAGTTGAAAATGAAAAAGAGAAGCTGATTGGTTTCCATGCACAGCTGCTCTAGATTTTGTCTGCTCCAGTTTTGATAAATTCCCCTCTAGGTATGTACGGCTTCCATTTTGCACTGTATGCCATTGTAATTTGTGAACATTACTTATTATATTATGTGAGTCTTCATTTTATTTATTGGATATATAACATTTTTGCATTAGAACTGTGGTTGGTATGCTAACTTAATATTAGACTAAACCGTTATGTCACATGGGGAGGTTGGTTGGCTCCTGGATATAGTTATAGCACACACATGTTCTTATATGCTTGCATATCTTTTTTAAAGTGACACTAAACTCAGGAGTTAAATCTTAAAAACTTATTCAAGTACCTTAGCTAGTTACAAAAATGTGGATCACTCGGCTGTAGGTCCTCAAATCATCTATGATATCATGGTGACACTCTCCTTCCTTCTGGAGGGTGGCTACTTTTGTTCCCCATGGTCCTTGTGTGTGTTGTAAAGTAGTCACCACTCCAAACTCGCTCCCTTGATAGACTACAATCTCAATACAAATTAATAAACAAAACAGGATTGTTGCCCATCAAGGGAGCAAACTTGGAGCGGTGACTACTTTACAATACACACAGGGATCATGGGGAACAAAAGTAGCCACCCTACAGAAAGAAGGACAGTGTCAGCACTAATTCAGAGATGATTTGAGGATCTACAGCCAAGTGATACACAAATAAGATACATTTTTGTTAATGGTTAAGGTACTTGAATGCATTTGTAAGATTTAATGCCCTTGTTTAATGTCACTTTAAGAGGTCTATGCATGCTGACAGCGCTCAGCACTCTTTGCTACATGGTTTGTATTACACTCGCAATCTGTACCACTGACATAGCAACTTTCTTTATGAATCATCAAAAATGTCTTCACCTATCACAAGGGTTTTTTATTTTTTCCCACCAATATTTTCATGATACTTTGTAGAAATGGACAGTTTATGGGACTGATCTTAGCCCTATTCTCTACAACAATCTCTGTGTTGTTGCTGTATTTCTGAAGGTTGGCTAAGTTGGCCACTAGCTTAAAGAGACCCTATCATAAGACCATTCATTTCAACAACAGTCTTATAGGATCATATGTGCATTTAACATATTTTAGGTATGTTATTTCCCTGTAAATGTCTCCCTTGTGTAGGCATCCAGAAGCCCTGAGACTTTTGCTTGAAGCTGTCATCTTGGATGTGATGTCACCAGCCCAAGCAGACTCAGTGTTCCTATTCACTCCTCCCCTGGCAGTTACATAAAAGTCTATGCAAGGAGGGGAGTGGCAGAGGAGCTTGGCCAGCAAAAACAGTAATTAGACACTCCCAGGGCCTTATTTCTTAGGAAAAAAAAAAATTAAAGAATGCTTTTTTTAAGATTTGGATAGCGTGGTGAGGGGTTTGAACTCTTATCAGGTTTTTGTCACCTGTGCTAGGGAGATTCACTCTCCTCCAGCAATTTTAAATATTTTCTTTCCTGTAGAGCATCCATTCTACAAAAGTGCCCCCTCACTGTCTCTTAACCATCTGAGGAGTCATTCCGGGACTTTGCTCTTCATACTACAACCTGGAAACGGCCCGCTCCCCCACTGGAATCTTGTGTGTGCCTTACATATGGCAGACCACCAATCCCCCTGCTCAACCTATGTTTGCAGAAGGTTAAAACAAGCTGTTTTGCCAAAGAGTAGGCACCACCAGGTAGATGCTATTACATCACCTGTCCAGAAAAGTATATTCAGTGCCCTAACTGTGATCACTTTCAGTTTGCTAGTGAAGTCCTGACTTCTTCGCTCTCCAGCCCCACCCACGTATCAACCTGCTGACCAATGGGTGTGCCTTGCTGTCCAATAAGGGCACTCTCACTAGACAGGGGGCCATGGGTGGAGAAAGTTCAGTGCCAGGGGTTAGTAGTTAGGTCCAAATTTGAGGACTAGCTGACAAACAAAAAGCTTATAAGTAAGACTGATTATAAAATGCTAATTTTTAGGATTTGATTCAAGTTTGATTCAAATACTTTCTAAATAATCTGAAAGCAGTCTCAGAGAGGTAACACCGCTTGATGTTATGCAGCACTTTTAGTTTTAAATATTCGGAATGGATGACAGGTTTTTGGCACCTTAAGGGGGTGCTTTTACGTTCAACCATCACATCCAGCGTAAGCAAAGTACATATAGTGAACACAGCTTTTTTTCAGCACTGCCAACACTTCTACATTCCTGTAGCAATTTATAAAACACACCAGGACACACTTCTCAGTTTCTCACTGTGAATTTGGGCTAATGTGTCTCATTAGTGTATAACAGCATGAGTCATAAAGTTAAGTCAACCATACTAAAAAGTAACTGCACAAAAAGGTTACCTCTCACATACCTAACAATTATGCTATATTTAATAATGAAAACTAGGGTTGTACAGATACCAAGTACAGTACTCGGTACAAGTACGAGTACATGTACCGATACTTTTGAGCTCTAAGACTAGACTAGAGAAAAATTAAAAAGTTAGGAGGCAGCTGTCATTTGTAAGGAGCACACGGAGCTCCTGGGATTTGTACATCTCTGTTATAATATATGATTTTGTTTTTATAAATATAAATAAAGGGATGCACAGATACCAGTTTTGCGAGTACGAGTACTGGTACTTGCCGAGTACTTACAAGTATGAGTACTGATACATTTTTGTTTATTGTCATGTGACAGTTTTTCTAAAACAATACAGACTAATGATTTCAGGACAGTGGTGGAGTGCCAGAGCCAGGCCCCTGCTGCAACCGCTGCAACCCTGGTAGTTCTCATGAAAATGCCAAGTATCTGCACTGGTACTCGAAAAGTATCTGTGCATCCCTAATGAAAACAATGTCTATACATGGGACGTTTTCTGCAGAGGATGCAGATTTACATTTTACCTGCAGTTCTTTTCCATCAGTATTACGCATGGTTAACTACTCAACCAGAATGATACATGCTCAAATGTAAAGCAGTAAGGATTCTCAATGTAGACTTGCCACAACTCCACATAAATGTATATGGTTATCATACAATGCAGTCTCAACAATCAACTAATCTAGTCGGAACAATTTAATCTGGATCTGCATGTCAGAATTGTAAAAGTAGTTCATAGGTAAATGAGCAAAAGCAGTAATATGATAATATTTGGTACCTCCTGAAATCCTATCCTGGTATACTGTAGAATCTTGATATCATAGCTAGACCTTTGACCTTTGCTATTGAATTCCACATGTCCGGTAAGACCTTCCAACTCTACCTGTGCAAGAGAAAGCCAATCACAGAAAGCCACAGGCAACTCCAATGCTTCCATGTACAAATATGAGCTATAATAACCAATATTGTGCATTAAAAATAAACAGTATATATATGAAATAACTGCTGCCTTTTATAATTAGCTTGTATACATTGTAACATTATAAGCTGATTGTGTGCTTCTCCAGACACTGACTTCCAGCAGTTGTGATCATAAAATAGGAACCAACAGGTGGAAGCTTTTAGAACATACATTTCAAGGACTTCAACAGACATCATTGAACATTCTTACCTGCCAGGGCCAGATTAAAGGAGAAGCAAAAAGGTAAATTGCTCTTTGGCTACCACCAGCGGCAGAGTGGGCCTCCCATCAGTAATTCAAATGCTTTTTCAATGTTTAATATGCCCCCACGTCTGTTCAGAAAAACTCTGTTGGGCAACCAACAACCTGCTCTCATCTACTGTCATTGCTTTGGTGCTTCTTGTCAGACTGAGGAAGTGACATCACAACCAAAGCAGTGACAGAAGATGAGAGTGGTGGGTTAGTGTTGCAAAAGTGTGCCATGTGCACTTGAGGTGAAACATGATAAAATCCTGATCAGCTTCCCACCATGCCCGATGCCTGTCCCCCACAGCATGATATCTGGTAGTGCTCTTCTTATTTTCCTTCACCAAAGTGCTTCTCTCAAACACCTCAAGTGCCCTCCTCTACTGCTCCTCTCCTTTACCTACAGCATCCATGCCAGGATACCTCATGCTGGCATCATGCAGTGCTAGTGTTACCAGATATGTGGAAACTACACAGAGGAAACCAGACTCAAACCAAAGTGCCAGGAGGCAAGGTTGGGGGAAGGGGGCTAAGCTAACAGATCATTGACTTAGCCAAGTGCCCTTTGCATGAATGATTGTAGTGACAAAAAATGTCAGCATGCTGGTAGTTGTCTTTGACCCATGTTTTTTTTTTTTCCCAAACATTTTTTATTGCATTTCCATACGAAGTATCACTAATACAATGCATGACAACATCAGAGTGTGAGAATACACATTACATAGTGTCTTGTCATAGTATACAGATCACATGAAATCACTTCTAATGCTGACTAGATCGTTGAAATAAATGTAGTGTACAGAATAAGCATAACAGCATAAACAAAAGCAAATACAAGCACAAAAACAAAAACAGAAATAAATCCCATACATGTCGAGATTGTGGCGGTGCCTAAGATATCCGTGGGTAAAGCACCCCGGAATCAATCAATCTGGGCTATTATATGACCAGGTTAAATCAGGTAAATCAGGTAACACTGGGGCAATCCCTTCGGTGAAATGAGGTAGGCCTCCACACCCTTGTGATCTCCTCTAGAACGATAGATCTAGAGTCCGCCCCCTCCTTCCACAGACCACATGTGGGTCAATAGTATAAGTAAAAACTACTATGGAGAGTAACTACCAAGATGAGAAAACTCTCCTAGTTCCCAGTAATTCAACACAAATTTCTTATGTTTTGTATTAGACAGTATGTAGTAAATTGAAAGGGAGATAAGATAGCTTTCTGGGTTGAAAGCAGGAAGGCAATTTCAATGAATGGGAGCCACCGCTTGAAAAAGGTATTTATTATGTTATTCTCTTCCAGATGTAGTTCCGCATATAGTTTGTCTAGATGAAATAGCTTTACTAGGTCGTCCCTCAACCTGTGCAGTGGGGGGGTGTGGTGAAAGCCACTCTCTCATAATGCTTCTCTTGGCGGCCAAGAAGGCGGTGCCGACCCATTGCTTACTGTATCTACCCATTGAGACAGAGGATGTTGCCTGATCATCCCAATAGTTAAACAGCAGCAATAGGGGATCCAACTGTATTTTCTGCCCTACTACAGAGGACACCAAATCCAAGACTTGGGTCCAATATCCTTTGATGGCGGGACACAACCAAAGACAGTGGTAGAGAGGTGCAGCCGCCAGTTTACATTTGGGGCATTGGTGAACCATGTTTTTAACACTCAGGAAGTGTTTTTCTTCCTATATATAAAGCTGTTTATAAGGCATACATTAGATCAGTGGTTCTCCACCTGTATAACCACAGGACCCACATTTGTCCTTGGTCATTAAGTCGTGACCCAAGTCGCACCACACTGGAACACACGGCATTGCGGTACCACATATTCCAGTGCAAGCCATCAAACTGTGGGCGGAAGATGTGTTCGAGGTGCCATTCAAATCAATGGCAATGCAATGCACCTCCCGCACCAGAAAGAACAGTGTGGTTGTGTGGTAGTTTGCGATTAAAACACTGACAGACACACACAACCACAGACACAATCTCACACACTCACAGACACACACATACACACTCCCAAAAAATGTTCAGCCCAGTGTGGGGTGCTGGGCTGTGACGAAGCTCCATCCATACGTGCAGTGCTTGTACAACTCCCTTGCACTCCCTGTAGACGTACTGGGAGCCAGAATGTGATGTCACCCAAGTCACATGAGGGAGCTGTAAGCAATGCACGTATGGACGGAGTTCCCTCGCAGCCATACCCCCTGCCCACCCCACCGCAAGCAGACACCCGGCACCAGGCAGCATAGTGCAGTGGAAAACATGCGGCAACCCGCTGAACATGGACTTGCGAACCACCAGTTGAGAACTACAGCATTAGATGATAGTAGTCTCAAAGTTTTTGAATAACAGATCATATACTTGTACAATAGAAGCTTCTTATATATGAAAATATTGAGACCTAATCAGATATTCTGCTTTTTCCCCAAATATTGCTCCTTACTTTTAACTTACAGAATATATTTGAGGAATGAAAATCTCTCATCCTTACTCACCATTCTCAGGTAGTTCATAAGGCTAGTGCCATGTTGCCATATTTGTGCAGACCCACATGACAGTGGTTTGACACCAATTTCCTGACTTCGGTTCAGTTCCTGCACCGCACTCACAACAACATAAACAGCATCAAAGAGTAACGCAGAAGAGAGCTAGAGAAAAAGAAAGAACATTTGTACATTTGTGAATGAAAGGTAGAGAACACTCTTAAAGGGCCATTGTCATATCAGAAATATGAGCAGCCATTGCTGAATTTTTAAAGCTTTAAGCTCCAGAGTTTTCTTCCTTATTCTACATTATTGCCTAATAACTCATGTATCGGGAGCAAACATACAAGTAGAGACGTCATGGCTCTTGCACTGCAATTGTTCTGGCCCAATGACTTACTGACTTACTTAAAGGATGAATGACTCAGATCTTGCACCATATAAAACAAGCTGGGAATGGCAACTCCTACATATCTAGTTCAATTAGAACTTTTCTCTTTAAGCATTTGATAAGAACTTAAAGGACAAGCCCAGTTTTAGTAGAAATACACTAGTCCACCTTCACTAGCCCCCTAGCATAAACTAACCTAGAATCACCCACCCAGCTTTTTACTTAACCTCAGCATGTCAGTCACCTCTGCTATTTACAACCTCCAGGCAACAGCCTTCTTGGTACTAGCCACACCTGCACAGCTAGCCCTTCTAGGCTTGAATGTGGCCATACTTCGAGTGTCTCTTGTCTTCAAGTATTGTTCTATATAAGTCTATGAGGGTTCAATGCACTGGAGTGGCCAGCGCTGAGAAACACTTCAGCCTGGAGGAATTAAACAATGAGGGTGGACCAATTCATTTCTTACTAAAAGAGAAATTGTCTTTTCACTATGATTCTAAACTAGGGTTGCCACCCGTCCGGTTTTCACCCGGACAGTCCGGTTTTGGTGTGTTGTGTCCGGGTGCCCCGCCAGTGGGCACCCGGACACAACACACTCCATGGCCATGCCGACACCGGCACTTTACATTTTCTGACAGGTGCGGCTGCCGAGGTCCTTGTCAAGCCGATCTATTCTCGAGCAGCCGCCCCGCCGGAACTTCCTCCCTTCTTCTGATCCCCTTTAGAAAGCAGCTGCTGCTGCTGCTCTCCCTTGTCAGCTATGCCGCTGCAAGGGTTAAGAAGAAAAAAACATTTGTCCCTGCCCGATTCACTTACGGGCTCCTCTGCCTCCTCAGCGGTCACATGTGTCTTTTTCCTCCCTCCTCAGCTGCTATTGGCTGGGAGGGAGAGTGCAGCACCGCCATTGGCTGCCTGTGAATCTTAGGAGAGTGGGGCAGTACCTGCAGAGAAGGCTGCTTGGGGATTTACATGGTGGAAATATCGATGCTCCCCCTCCCCCTGCCACCACCTGGAGAGGAAGAAGAGGGCATGAGGACATCAGCAAATCAGCATTGTAAGTCCCTTTTCTATCTTACAGCGCTGACCGCACTGCGCCACCTTACTGACTTCCGCACTGCGCCACCTTACTGACCTCCGCACTGCCTCACCTTACTGACCTCCGCACTGCCTCACCTTACTGACCTCCGCATTGACTCACCTTACTGACTTCCGCACTGCCTCACCTTACTGACCTCCGCACTGCGCCACATTACTGACCTCCGCACTGCGTCACTTTACTGACCTTGCACTTTGTCACTTTACTGACCTCTGCTCTGCGCCACCTTACTGACCTCCGCACTGCCTCACCTTACTGACCTCCGCACTGCCTCACCTTACTGACCTCCGCACTGCCTCACCTTACTGACCTCCACGCTCTGCGTCACCTTACTGGCCTCTGCGCCCTGCGTCACCTTACTGGCCTCCGCGCCCTGCGTCACCTTACTGGCCTCCTCGCCCTGCGTCATCTTACTGGCCTCAGCACTGGGTCACCTTACTGGCCTCTGCGCCCTGTGTCATCTTACTGGCCTCCACGCTCTGCGTCACCTTACTGACCTCTGCGTCACCTTACTGACCTCTGCGTCACCTGACTGGCCTCTGCTTCACCTGACTGGCCTCTGCGCCACTTGACTGGCCTCCGCTCTCTGCATCACTTTACTGGCCTCCGCACTCTGTGTTACACCGATGACCAATGTACTCTGTGTTTTAACTGAGCTCTGTCCCGATACTTAAAACTGATGCAGCCACTTACATTTTTCAACTCTGGTGTCTTAGGTCCAGCGTCGCAGGATACCTCGCAGCAGCCATCTGGGGAGCCAGGCGATGACTGCTTACATCACTTCTGCCACCCGCACACCTCCCCTTACTAAGACCCCCGCACACTCCTGACACCCTCTGACGAAGACATCAGGCCAGAACCCCGGAGTAGAGCGGCAGCTCAGAGTATGTAGCCAATTCATATACTATTATTCTGCACTGCTCTATGTCTGTGAAGGTTCATTCATCCAGGTCATGGGATATCTGTAAAAGCCAACTGGACTTGCTGTATTTTTCTGGAAGACGTTTCACTGGTCATGTGATCAGCTTTCGGATGACCAGTGAAATGCGTTCAAGAAAAATACAACATGCATTGCTCTATGTTTTGCTGGGATTTGTAGTCCTCCATAGCTGGTGGTATTCTGCATTGCTGTATAATATATTGCTGGGATTTATAGTCCTCTATAGCTTGGAGTCAGTACAAGAGGTGGGGTTACAGAAATAGCCAAGCGGCAGGGGGAACCAAGATTTACAGGGGAACATAATTCAACACAACACCGACTCCCTGACACCCGAGTGTCGCACAGCCCACCCGAGAGTTACACAGCCGGCACAAATCACCAGGCCACCTGAAGACATCAGGACGCCAACTCAGAACAGCACAGAGTATGTAGTTTCACATTATTTTGTATTGCTGGATAATATATTGCTGGGATTTGCAGTTCTCTATAGCTGGTCTCATTACTCCATCCCCTAGCTGCCTCTCCTCACTCTCAACTATTCTCCCCAAACATTTTTTAGTGGCGCTAGAGTATTCGGGTTTCACTTGAAGAAAAGGTGGCAACCCTATTCTAAACCCACTGCCACTAAGCACCAGGAAATAGATACTGTGACATCATCACTGGGTCTTTGTGATTCTCTGCAATCCAGGTCTGATCATGGCTGGTGGCAGGGGCAGGCAGGGTACTTTAGATAGCTTCCTGAAAACATCACTGCACCCTGCCTCAGTACTCCACTAAAAAGCCCACAGCACTGATGCAAGCGGTGGGCTGTCTCTTGGGAGGAGTTCTGCTAATATCAAAATGGCATGATGCATTTATGTCAGTCTGGAGAAGTGGGCATTACTAGGCAGACTGCATTTTCAGATCACCCTAGATAACACCCACACATGGTGATATAATACTCAGTAATTTTAGTGCATGGAATTCCACAAGGAAGGGAAAAGCACTACCCCTGTCGCCATGTTGTTATTAAGCCACACTACATAGGAGTTTACGTTTGTACATATTTATACTGATTTTTTGGGCTGTATATTTTTTTTGTAAAACAATAAATGCCTTCTTTCATTTTTAAGCAAGCGCCGAAGAACATATTGTCCTTGCATGTAAAACTCTAAAATACTCCTATACCTTTTGCAAAGTACCAAACTTTTGTACAACTGCCGTGGGGGTATAACATGAATAATTGATTTCTCAAAGATCACTCCTGATAATTACACTGCGTCAGAAGTCTGCATAATTTAACTGCACAGAGACTTTAAAGAGCAAAACTGAAAATTTCTGCCTTGCAGAATCACAGGCTCAGAGATGGGTGTTCCCAGAAAAGCAAACAACCATGGTACAGATGATACAGCATAAAAACCAAAATAATGGTAGGAAAGCTTTATCCTTTTAAGTATTTCCATGATAAATGTTCACGTTTAACTAATGTGTATTGTCTGACAACAGGAATTAGTGTGAAGGATAGGCTTTTATTTATTTACATTTTATAGGAATTTTCAAGTCTGAGGGGGTTATTCACTAAAGAGCCGAAGAATCCAGCCGTAGCTGCAGCTGATCTTTTGGCTCTTTTCGGTTCCTCTGATCCTTTCGGTTCAGATGAACCGAAGGGCTGCTGTACAGGCTATTCACAATAGCCCATACAGCAGCCGAAGGCGGCCGAGCTACGGCTCGACTGGGCTGAAATGACAGCCGAAGTGGGGAGAATGGCCTGCCAAAGGGCCAGCTGTCCGCCCCACAAATGACAGCTGGGCGGAGCCAGCTGTGATCTCACGCCCAGTTGTAATGACAGATCAGTGTCTCCAAATGACCTGGGGAGGCTGATCTGGCATTAAACAATAACAACTGTGTCACGTCCGGCTCCACCCAGTTGTTATTCATTGGCCGGGACCTGGTGTCGGCCAATGAATATGAAGGTGTCGGCCAATGAAAGTGTCGGCCAATAGGAAACAGTTTTTTTTTTTAAATTGTACTATTTGTTTACATTTTTTAAAATATTTTGTCAACTATTTTTTTTTCCTGTTCATTTAACTGTTTTGATATTCCGCTTGGTACCGCTCGGCGGCATTCGGCTATTCACTCACCGCCGTACAGCCCCTATGCTGCCTTTGGCAGCTGAGTGAATAACCCTGTAGGAAAATAAATTTTCCAATTTCTTAAAATTGTTTCAGGACTATAAATTTACATGTTGTGAGGACACTTGAGCTGATGGACCCTCAAGCACCTGCTGAACACATGCTCCTAATACTTCAAAGTTCATACCACCAGCTGCTTCCCATAGGGTCAGGGCTGGCAGTTAGACTTTTAGTCATTTCAGGGTTTTCTCAGTTACAAGCGGGCAAAGATCTAATCTTGGGACTCACAAAATACTCTATCAACACAGGCACAATCGCTGGACGGGATCTCGTTCTCCCAAGACAAGACTTCAGAGTCCATAGGCTGGTCTTTTCCAGTTTCCACAAAAATTACACGACACAGGGACTTAATGCCCCAGGTCACCTGGGAAGAGCCCAAGAGTGTACAAATCAGCATTCAATGTAATTTTTTCCAAGGAAAACAGGGTGGACACGGGGCACACCAACCCTCGCTGAACAAACAGAACCCACTTCAGTGCCGAGCTTGTTTTTGTTCAACAAGCAAACATTTTATATATATATTAACCTAAAATAAAGTAAAGGCATCTTAATGGCTACATATACAATTCAATGTAAAACAAGAAAAAAATATATTCTACCATAGTACTTGGGGATGGTGTGGAACTGGATAAAAACTGATGTCTTATAAGTCTCATGATCTGCATTGTTAGACGCCAGTAAACAGTGTCTTATTCTAAGCTAGATGTTACTTACTGCAGGACCCGTAAAAGGTGAATGATCACAGTTCTCTTCCCAGGACTGCTGGAGTATATGTGAGAATTCCTGAAAGTAGCTATGTGACTGATTAAACATAGAAAAACTCAAGATGTTCACCCGTTCATCCAATGGGCTGTCAAACCTCTGCAGAGAAAATTCCTGATTGAAGAATATGTCAGGGTTAATTACCAATTTAGCAATGCATTACCAGCAAGAAAAAACATTTTTACTATGTTCAATGTTTAGAATCTATTTGTGGAGAAGTACTTGCATAAGCAAGTATTTATTATCCTAAATATTAATCAAATGTGATTTTCAATGTGTTATCAGTAAAACAAAATATACAGCGCTTATGTTAAGCTCACATGGGTCAATTTAATAACAATAATGATACATTATGACATTGTGATTGGTTCATTAGGATTCAAACAGCATCCCGTGCACTCCTTAACGGAGAACCCCTTTGGTTGGGTGCCGAAATGACTGCGAATGGCCTCGTTCAGATCAATGTAGAAAGAAGATGCCACCAGCACACTGAAGATATGTGTCAAAACAAACTTCTTTTATCTATGATCAATACTGAGCCTGATGAAGGGAACCTGCGTGGCATATTCTGGTTAAGACAGAATAACGTTAGAAATACTGGTTTACAAGTCACAAAGATATTATTGTATGAAAACCTAAAGTGGCCACAGGGCCTTGGAACAAAACCTTAGTAGAAGATCACTCATAATTCCACAGAGATTTTCTGTATGGTCCTTGACCTGTTATTTTTTTATAACATGAGTTTTTGTTTATTAAATTAAACAAATATGAATTATATCAATTTCACAATCACTATAGAAACACACATCTGCATTAAACCCTACTAAAGGCTTAAACAGCAGATGTGGAAACATGTCCAATTCATCAGCTTGGGCCTTCTTTATTGATAATGAAATTATCCATCGCGATAAGAGGACTGGAGACGAGTCCCCCAGGCCTCGCTTCAAGTTCCTACCTTCTTCTCTTATTGTCTGCAACTGTAACAACTAGCATTTTTTCTTATTCACTTTGATCCTGTCTTGTATAGCCTTGTTGTTTTTTTACATTTTGGCTGCTGCATCAGCTAATTGTCCTTTCTGGTGAAAAATGTTCTATAACTGTTATGTTTAAATTCTTAATAAAAATGTTGTGGCAGAAAAAAATGCCCAGTCTATCTATCTATCTATCTATCTATCTATCTATCTATCTATCTATCTATCTATCTATCTATCTATCTATCTAATTTACAGAGAATACTGCATCATTCACATCAGCTACAGATAGATTACACTTTGCATTCTTTTCAACTATTGAAAGTACTTGGCACCAGCACATGTGAGGCAGGAGAGGTCAGAGCCAACTATATTGCTATGGCGCAAAGTCAGATTACTATTAAACTTTCATTAGTATGTAAATTTGTGCAATAAGTGCTTTTACAATTTGCAGTTTTAAAACTGCTCTCACTTTCAATCAATATTTTATTTAAAGTGTGAAAAAGTCCAACTCTATAAATGCTTCAACTTTTATCAATTTGTAGTAATTACGTTTTACAGTTGTTCCATAATTTATTCACCCTTAATTATATTATTGTAGGTTTAAGTGGTATATAGAACTACAGAAGATAGAAGAAAAGGGTTTAGCCTTCTGATTGTGCTGTTAAATAAAAAAAAAGAAAATTCTCACCAAATTTGTAAAGATATATGTGTAATAAGCCGACACCATTCCCAGCTCTGCAGCCTGTAAAAAAAGGAAGCAAAAAGATACATATAAGCCGGGAGCGGGAGGTTCCCAGAGCGCCCAGGAGAGTTTTTTCTTTTTACAGCAGCAGAGCCGCCGGACAATAGAAAACTATTGGGCGGAGCTAGCTGTCACTGCTAGCTCTGCACAATCGCTTTCTATTTACTTTTTTTTAACTTTATTCACTCATTTTCTGTTCTGCTCGGTCCCTCAGAACAGCCGAGCCGAATAGCCGCTTCGGCTATTCACTCACTGCTGTTCGGCATTTTTAAGAATAGCCCGAACAGCAGTGAGAAGTCTGCCCGAGGTTCGGCTCAGCCGATCCAGATGTTGGATCGGCCGACTCGAACTCCTTCTGCACTTCGGGTGGGGCGCAAAAAAAAATCAGCCGATGTACGGCTGAAATCAGCCGTACCAGCCTGAAGTGAATAGCCGAACAGTGTTCGGCTCACTTCACTTCAGATCGGTCATTCACTCGGCTGCCCTCGGCAGCTTGGTGAATAGACCCCAATGTCTTTACAGAGACTGCATTACGCAATTGTAGGGCAACAGTAGGGCAATTGTTTTTTGCCAGTGACATGGAGAAAGTGAATCTCTACTGACTGTGACGTTGTAAATCTGAATGGGAATACAAATGGCATAGTTTACACTGTATATTTTTGGCTAAAATAAAACCGCCAGCCAAAACAAAAAAACTTTTTCATCGTTTTCAATGGTAAAAATATTCTAATACCCATTTTTATACTATTATCAATTTTGTCTATTTCTGCAGCTGGACATACTGCTAATGCAGTTTCATACATTTTCTAAACCAGACAAAAATAGTAATTTGTAGTCCATGTCTACTTTGATTTAAAATTACCGTGAGTCAGTGGGTACTACTGTGCTCACACCCAAAATAGCATCATCATGCTACATTTATTACAGTTATTTATATAGCACCATCAATTTACACAGCATTTCACATATTGAAGTGCTGACATCGGTCCCTGCCCTCCAGGAGCTTACAATCTATGGTCCCTATATCACAAGCGTACACACACACTAAGGCAATTTAGACAGGAGCCAATTAACCTACCAGTATGTCTTTGAAGTGTGGGAGGAAGCTGGAGTACCTGCAGAAAATACACACAAGTACAGGGAGGACATGCAAACTCCATTCAGATAGCGTTCTGGTTGGGATTCGAACTGGGGACCCAAGCACTGAAAGCCAGCAGATCTTCTCAACTATATTGTGGTCCCAATTTTTTGCTGAAGTTAACATAAACAGGAGTGTGTTGACGGTCATATGACACATGAATGAGCTGATGCTTCTATCAAAATTAGGCTTGAGATGCACACAGGGACACAATCTACTTGTGTTATTTTCATCCAGGCCCTGGCGCACTGCACTAGTCCACCCCAGTCCCATTTTAGCAATAGTCTGGTTATTGTACAAGGCCTGTGTGTGATGCAGGGGAGAGGTATAGGTAGCAGTCTTATTTATTAAACTGTCCTGAAGAGGAATTTATTTTTTCAACAATGTGTATCGGTTGATGTTTTCATGCCAACAGATGGATGGATAGGTGGATGGACAAATCTAAAGCACAGCTCAGTGTAAATTGAGACATTCTGTGAAATAAAAAGGTTTTAGGTGCACACCTTCATTAGAATTGTGTGGGACATTGATGCATTAGCATGAATAATGATCGTACTGGTCTTGTCATCGCGTATTTCTTTTAAAAGTGGCGTCGGGTCCCAACTGTCATCAAGCATCCTGACTGAAAGACAGTCTTTGGAGATCAGAAACTGACGCAGAAGCTTTTCCAGGTTCAGGAGACCTAAGAAGACACAAAGATAACTTTCAAAATGGACAATGCAGAAAAGTCATACAACAAGGGGAATGCATGAAAGTGATGCAGCGATCATCATTGAGGATGTGCAAAGTGCAGAAATATGAGCACAATAGAGTACTACCCAAGTTCATAATCTCCAGGTGGTCTGAGACCTCACCCCTATATACTAATACAACAAAATCACATCAATGCGTGACTAGGGTTTTAGGAGGCATCAGACTTACATTTTTGAGAAACTGTACAACATGTATTAACAGCTACATAAAAAATCCATAGATTCCATTAAAAACATAAAATGTTGATCATAATCATAGTTCTGCCTTATTGCCACATATATAATTACAGTTATTCATGTGCTTAATTTATTAAGTATGATGTTTCCATCTTAACATGTATTCATCTTTTCCATAATGGCAATAATTCATGTACTACCAACGCGTTTCGCTGATGCGCTTCCCCAGTGAAGATAAGGCATAAATCTATTTACAGATACATAATCAATTTTTAGTAATACATCTATGTATCAATCTATTAATAACAGTAATTATGTAAGTATATAT